TGCACTATTATGCGCAGCCTTGGCCAGAACTTTTTTGGGGGTGTAAAACCCTGTTTGCCAGAGATTAGTGTCACTTGATGGCACTAAGCAAACTGTTGGAACTACAGAATAAAGGATGAAGAATGTTTTAAGTGTCCATTTCCTGAATGTTAGGCCTCACATTAAGCACCACTGGTTGACCATTTTCTCTCACGAAATTTCACAGGAGCTGTGCTGCTGTTCCTGCTTACAGACAGGTTACCTTGATGCTGGGATAGACCTCACTGAGCCCAAGCTGTCTCAGAAATAAACTGAGGAGCCAGGAGGCCAGCTCAGCATTGCTGGCTCTAAAGTCCTGGCTGTCAACCTGGGCATGGCTTCTGACAAGCCTTGTGAGGGACAGGGCAGGGCAAGGGTGTTAGGACACCCTCAACAATAAGAGCCAGACCTCCTGAGACAATCCTGGCTCTGCTATTATTGGCCAAGTGATTGGGCAAATTGCTGAGAACTCTGGATGTTAGTTTCCTCCTCTGAATGTGGAAAGGACAAGGGCCCTTGCCTCAAAGTCCTTACAAAGATTGCACAGGACAGCATAGAGCCCTCAGCACAACCTGACATGGTGCTAAATCAACAGGAACTCCCATCATTACTATTACTGACTAAGCCAGCCACGTCTGCAGAGGTCTGGAAAGATCCCGCTCCATGTGGTGTTACTGCAGCAGTCAGTGGACTTACCTGACCCTGGCAAGTCACTGACTGCTTTGCCTGCCTGGAGAGGTGCCCCGCCCCGCTTCTTGCCTGCCCGCCACCTGTTCACACTCATTAGCAACAGCTACAGGGTCTGGGTCACTTGCTCTGTGCCAGGCCCTGTGATAACTACTTTACACAGATAAATTAATCTAATCTCAAGGACCCACACCACAGAGGAAACTGAGGCACAGAGGCATGGGGTCTCCATCAAACCCACATGGCTAGTAAGCACTGGCCTTGGAAGCTCAGCAACTAGGCCAAAATTCCCTATTACTCTACCAAGGCTTTTAAGTATTTGGCTCATTTATTTATCTGTTGACATGTTTGTTACTACAGCATGCCACTCCAGCCCAAAACGTTTTCTCCACGGGGACAAAAACCTGTTTCCCGCAGCATCCCCACCGGTCACAGAGTGCAGCCCCCACAGACACGGGTGCTGGTCAAAAACCATTAAGCAGAGCGGCTCAGTCCCTGCTCTCCCTCGTTCTCTGGAGGCCAGGGCAGCATCCCCACCTTGGCGGTCTTGATGATCTCGGTGAAGTTGTCCATGATGGACTTGACATCATCCTTGAGCCGCTTGTTGTAAGACTGCAGCAGCGTCTCCTTGCTCTGGGGCAGGGCTCTCTGCTGGGCCATGGTCGGCCTCGGACGCGTAGCGGGGCCTGTCACCAGAGAGTACAGGACTGAACTTAGCCACCCTCGCCCAGCAGACACGGATCCATCTCCGCAGGCGGGCGCCGCCGGGGCCGCGGCGCTCCTCGGGTGCACCTCTCTTCGCCCCAGCACCCGAGGCACCCACTGCCTGCCCCGGACCGCGCGGACCACGCCGTTCGGGGCTGGCACATGCGCCCCGCCCGGCGGCGGCCGGGCTCCTTCTCGGGCCCCCACCCGGGTCCCTCTGACCCTGCGCCCCTCTTCCGCTCGCCGCGCTCACCACGGGCGTCAGCCGGCGAAGGCCTGCGTGGCCTGGCCCGCAGCTCTGGTCACGCCGCCCAGCTCGGGCACACACCGCAGACTCGGGCCTGGGCCGCGGGGCGCGGGCCGCGAAGGAGCGGAGTCTCTGTGCGGGAGGGAAGGAAAGTCGGCCCGGCAACACAGGCGCCCACGCCTGCAAGAGCAACTCCGAGCGAGCTCTCAACGGTCGCCCGGCCTCTGGCCGAGAGCGTCACCAGCCGCGCACGCGCCGTGCTAGGCTCTCCCCCCCCACACACACACGGTAGGCTTTAAGGAGTCCTGTCGCTTTAAGTTCGAAATCCCGCGAACGCGCCGGCTATCGCGATATCCGAGGCCGCTTACTTATTACCCACAATCCCTTCTTCTTTCTCTCTCCTCCTGCCTACCAAGATGGTGAGTCGTGGTGCAACGTCTGGCCCCGGATCTGGGTCCGGGTTTCATCCGCCGTCATCCGCTTCGGGACACGGCAGCGCGGGTCCGCGGCTCCGCTCGGCGCTAGTGGATCCCTACTGGAGCCCTACTGGGCTTGGCACAGAGGAGTTGGGCCAGCAGGGAGCATAGCGCCGCAGTGCGGGACTTGGGCGGGCCGAGGCTTAGGCGGCTACGGTTGCTGCCTCGGACTCCGCCTCCGAGCCACGCCGCGGAGCAGCCCGACCGTGCGGGTGCCCCGGGCCGATGCGCACGTGGGGGAACGGGGGCGCGAGCAGTGCCGTGTGGGCCTGGGGGCGCGAGAGCGGCGCCCACTAACTGGCTCTTCCCCTGCGCAGCCGAAGGGAAAGAAGGCCAAGGGCAAGAAGGTGGCCCCGGCCCCCGCCGTGGTCAAGAAGCAGGAGGCTAAGAAGGTAGTGAACCCGCTCTTCGAGAAGAGGCCGAAGAACTTCGGCATCGGTGAGCGCAGACGGCCCCGAGGGTGGGGCCCCCGCCGCCCCCAGGGAGCGGGCTGGCCAGCCATGTGGTGCTGGGGGAGCTCCCGCTGTAGAGGGAAGGGGTGCTGTCTCCGGTCCGAGGCGTGTGCGTGCAGATGATGTGAAAGAATATTTGCTATCTGAGAGATGGTGATGACATTTAGACCACCAAGATCGCTGATGCACAGCACCCAGACCCGAGGCGGAAACCTGACACCAGTCAGCCTTACTGAAAGTGTTGCCCTTTACTTCCCAGGACAGGACATCCAGCCCAAAAGGGACCTTACCCGCTTTGTAAAATGGCCCCGCTACATCCGGCTGCAGCGGCAAAGGGCTATTCTCTATAAGCGGCTGAAAGTGCCTCCTGCGATTAACCAGTTCACCCAGGCCTTGGACCGCCAAACAGGTGGGACTCTGGGATGTACCAGCGTCACTCCCAACAAGGAGCTGGCCTAACTGAAAAGATGTGACATGTGGCTCTAGAGTTTTTTCTACTCGGTTCTTATGTAGTACCATCATTAAGGCATTTATGTTGTGTTACTGAGCCTAACTGAAGAATGCTTTCCCAGCCACCCAGCTGCTTAAGCTTGCCCACAAGTACAGACCTGAGACCAAGCAGGAAAAGAAGCAGAGGCTGTTGGCCCGGGCTGAGAAGAAGGCTGCTGGCAAAGGGGATGTTCCCACAAAGAGACCACCTGTCCTTCGAGCAGGTGAATGGGCCTTTCTGTAGAGGGGGCAAAAAGTGGGGTAGGCTGTGCTATGATGCATCAGTTTCACCCGAAATCACTGTGAGGGTTGAAATCCGAGCTTTTTAACACTGAGTCACAGCTCATTACAATTGTTTTCTGTTACCAGAGCCATGTCTGACTGCTCACAGAGTGTTTGCGTTTTGCAGGGGTCAATACTGTCACCACCTTGGTGGAGAACAAGAAGGCTCAGCTGGTAGTGATCGCACATGATGTGGATCCCATCGAGGTGGGTTGGGCATATTTTTAAACACTGATTACTGAAACCAGGGTGGAACAGACTTAATGATGAGTCTGGCATAATAAGACCAAAGTGGGTGACAAGGATAGTCCCCTTAATTGAGGACAGCACTGACAAGTGATCCAGATCATGCCTGGCTCTTGCAATGAGGCAAGCCTTTTGCTGAATTAGACCTTGAAGTGCATATACTTGAGCAATGGCCAACCTAGATCTCTTGAGGGACTGCTTTGGTCAAAACACACTTTCCAGCCAGTGCTTTCTTCCAGCTGGTTGTCTTCCTGCCTGCCCTGTGTCGCAAGATGGGAGTCCCTTACTGCATCATCAAGGGGAAGGCTAGGCTGGGACGTCTGGTTCACAGGAAGACATGCACCACTGTTGCCTTCACACAGGTTAACTCGTAAGTGTGTAGCCCCAACCCCCAGTCCATTTGCTCCCTTAAGACATTTTGAGACCAATGTTTGCCTGGCGAGGTGGCGCACGCCTGTAATCCCAGCAGCTCGCGAGGCTGAGGCAGGAGGATCATGAATTCAAAGTCTGCCTCAGCAATGGTGAGGTGCTAAGTGACTCAAGTGAGACCCTGTCTAAATAAAATACAAAATAGGGCTTAAGGTGTGGCTCAGTGATAGTGTCCCTGAGTTCAATCCCCAGTAACCCTCTTCCATTAAAAAGACCAATGTTCTAGCTTAATGAACATACATATTTCACCTTTTGCCTATGATGGTTAAGAATTTCTTCACCTGAATGAATCGTGTGGTCATGTTATATCTGAGGCAAAAGGGCTTATTTGGAACTAAAAATGGAATTTCCTAAAAGGTAACTAAAACTGAAAGCCCACCTTTTCTCCCCCACCCAGGGAAGACAAAGGAGCTCTGGCTAAGTTGGTGGAAGCTATCAGAACCAACTACAATGACAGATATGATGAGGTAAGAAACTACCCAAGTACTCTTCTTGGGTGAATCGAGCTTTCAAGGGACTGGCTGACTCAACTCTGTGTGCTTGAAATGACCAAGGCAAACCAAAACTCCCAAGTGTTAATCCTTGGGAGATGGCAGGCCAAGCTGACTGCTTCTCTTTTAATTTCAGATCCGTCGCCACTGGGGAGGCAACGTCCTGGGTCCAAAATCTGTGGCTCGCATTGCCAAGCTGGAAAAGGCAAAGGCTAAAGAACTCGCCACTAAACTGGGATAAATGTATGCTGTTGCATTTCTGTACATAAAAATAATAAATTGTCCTTCATCCAGTGTCTTGGACTGAAGGCAATAAATGTGTTTCAGGCAGTAGCAAGGGCATGCCCCGTAACATGAGAGCTTTAGAAACTCTTTGTGTAACTTGCATGAAAAGGCTGTATATAGCAGTAAAATGCTCAGAAACCAAGCCAGGGTTTTGTGATTGACCAGTCACTGTCTTATTTAAGGTAGCAATGAATGTGAGTCTATAAAGCATTTATTTATACTGATAATACATGATCCAGTAAAATCAAGTCTCTTGAAATGCCATCTATGCAGGGACCTTCTGATTATTTAGGGACCATTCTGTACTGACTTCTTCACATGCCAGGTGTCCGGCGCAGGAATTTCTTAAACCACAGGTATGATGTAGCTGCACACAGTCCATACCTTAGGTTGAAAGAAAATTAAGCTGTTAGGCTGTGAAGTGCACTAAAAAGAGGGAACCAGGGGCAGTACAACTGACCAGGTAATGATGTACTGCATGTGTTCATTCCGCAGAGTGACTCTGGTTTGCCCTCCGATGGGTCCTCCAGGGACTGTGCTCTCTGCAAAGACAGTGGGCCCCTGTCCTCACCTCTGCTGCTGCTTCCCAACAGCTAGCTGCCTTGGCACAGCCATCCTCAGGTTGTTACTTGACCCATAACCCATCGCCCTTCAAGTGTTTCTTGGTGTCTTGCCCCACCCCTTAACACATACCCTAGAATACAGCACAGCTGGGCCAAGAAAAGGCAGGGATACTTATTCTGGGGGAGGGCTGGTTTCAACATACGGAAGTCGGCATCAATAAAAATAGGGTCTGCGCCTGTGACCCTAGCCATGGCCTCCAGGTCCCGGTAATGCCAATGGTTCCTTTCTGGATTATTCTCGGGAACAAAGGGCTTCCTGGTTTCTGTAAGCCTCACCATCCCGACTAGGTCCACTTCTCCCTCAACCTAAAAAGGAAGATGAGGTTCCTCTTCACAGAGGCTTGCAACAGGGAAATGACCAAAGACCCATATCCATCCCTTACCTGGCCTTTCTGCCGAGTTTCAGGATTCACTTTCTTCCTTGGGACAAACCCTCGGTTTACCAGAATAGTGACTCTAGGGTAATAAAAAGCACTTTCAAACACAGAAAAGTTTTTGCATAGAATTGTCGCTTGGGCACCTACAGCATAGCTTTAGGACCAAGGAAGAATCCTGCATGTCTTTTGGGGGGTTTTGTAGTACTGGGGATCTGGTTGAGGACTATCCATAGAGTACACTCCAGCAACCCCTTGTGCCCCTTCCTTGTGGGGTGGGTGATAACCAGGGATTGAACTCCGGCATTTGACCACTGAGCCACATCCCCAGCCCTATTGTGTATTATACAATCCAGAGTCTCAGTGAGGTGCTTAGTGCCTCGCCTTGCTGAGACTGGCTTTGGTCCTGGGATAACAAATCTGGCCCTAGTGCCTTTCTTGATGGGAAAATCTCCCCTCCACCAACCACCACTCTCTAGCCCTATTTGCAGTTTGTGGTGCACAGCCTGCTCTGTTGCTTTCCTTCCTTGTGCTCCACTCCAGCAGTATGCAACTGGTGACCCACATTACCATGGCCAGAGCTCAGGGACCATCTCTCCCGCTGCAGCCCCCTCCTAACCAGGGTGGCCACTGAAGCAGCCCTGGCACACAACCTGCTGGTCACGCAGCTTTTGGGCACCACCCCAGAACTGGAACATGGACTAAACAGGAGCCCCAGGTATCTTAACGTGCACTCCTCTTTTTCTGGAAGTTCGTCCCATTTGCTACCTCGAGTGTTAACCTTCCCCGCCTCAGCTCCCACTAAGCATTTGGGGGATTTTAACTGCCCTTCCTGTTGTGCTGTCCTACACCACAGTGTGTTGGCTGCTGTTTGATTCTGCAGAGCTCATCTCGACGACAACCTCCCCTTCCGAGCTTAACATACAGAACCTATTCAGTAATAAAATGAATTGACTAAGGATGTTCGTATTCTGACATGGCTTATTTCACATCAGAATAAGGGATTTCAAACTTAGCAGGGCACTGACACTTTCTGAGCATCTAGGATTTCAAGGTCTTACCAAGAGTGGGGGGCTGGAAGGACATGGTGATGAAAACTGATCTGCTCTGACTGCACCCACCAGGCCAGTCAGCACCCCACATGGCCTACTCACCCCAGGTCGGTGCAGAGGAAGGGGGTGACTACATAGGCCCCACTCTCAGTTGAGGAGGAGATCCGACCAGCTTCCCGGGCCTCCCGGGCAGGATCCACCATGGTCCGGGGCATCATGTACAGCTCTTTGGAGTGATCAAAGCGCCCCCTGACCTTAACTGGTCTATACTCCAGATTTTGCAGTTCTATTGGGCTACAGAAAGGGGAAGAGAGCTGTAGTCAAGGTTTCGCATAAAAATAAATCCTCTTAGAGTGGGTTGCAAACTACCACCCCACCAGGGCCAGACAGTGAAGACTGCCTGGTCTTGCCCTCTACAGGGCCAGGTCCTCAGTTCTAGCCCTTTGGTGCCATGTGAGAATGTGAATCTGTGCCACCAGAGTAAAAGTTTTTACAAGAAGATAAAAGTGTTAATTCCTGTGTGAATATTTTATGTAAAATTAATAAAATATGATGTGGGACCCATGTCATCTGCAAGTCAAATACAGCACACTGTATCCACTTCAAATTCAACTTTGCTGCATATATCCATCTCTCCAGGAGAGTGTTTTAAAATGATGGGGAAAGGGCAGTAGAATCCTTCAGGCACTTTTCAAAATACTATCCTCATGGTGAGGCCTACATTATTCAACTAAGAATCATTGCTAAAGGCGGCTGGCTGTCAGCACTGTGGGGAATCCCTCAAGTCCTAAAAAATAGTGAAACCCAGCATCAAAAATAAGACTTTTCTATGTCTGGTGGCCTCAGATGGCTTCACAGGGATGGTCTATTGTTAACAGCAAGCCAAGCAGTACAGCTGATTTTGAGAACTCCTGTCTGAGGTCAGGGAAGTGATTGATAGCACAGGAAGGAGAAGTCTGAGCCCCACAGCTGATCTCAGTGATCACCCCATGGGCTGTCACACTCACTCTGCTGGCAGAGGGACGGGATCAGCCATAACTCTAGACTCTAATTCTGCAATCAATTTCAGCTTCCATTTCCGACGCTGGACCTACAGAAAGAGGGCATAAGCCAAGCAGATGGCAGCACCGTCAAAGGCTCAGGGCCATTCTAACTAGATGCCAGTCTTTACCTGCCAAGTCCCCAGGCCAAAGGCAGTCACAGGGATGAGAAGCAGAAACCACTGGAGAAAGGAGTCATCTTCCGTTTTTGTGGCAGGTGCTTCTGCCATAGAACTGCCACACCTGCTCGGCCCCCAGGCCACCCCTGGAGGGAGTTTTACAACACTGGCATGGGGTCAAAGCCTTAAAACAAATAGATCTGAGGCAGCCAATTCTTCAAGACTCCCAGTACCACCAGGAGGCGTGGCACAGGAGTAAACAAACTGCTGTAAGAAGCCAACAAGCAGCACCTTGTCCAGTCCAGCTCCTAACCCACAGCACACACTTGAGATGTCTGTTGACCAAATAAACGTGGTCTAGGGATCGATACTGGTTCTGCCACCAATTGTGACCATGTAACCATCCCACGTTTTAAAGGAGGGAACCAAGGAGTGCTCTACCACTAAGCTACATCTCTTGTCCTTTTTATTCATTTATATATTTTTTAGTTAATTATTTACTGGTACTGGGGATTGAACTCAGGGGGCACTCGACCACTGAGCCACATCCCCAGCCCTATTTTGTATTTTAGAGACAGGGTCTCACTGAGTTGCTTAGTGCCTCACTTTTGCTGAGGCTGGCTTTGAACTCGCGATCCTCCTACCTCCGCCTCCGGAGCAGCTGGGATTACAGGCGTGAGCCACTGCGCCTGGCTCATTTATACTTTTATTTTGAAGCAGTTTCCTTAAATTGCTGAGGCTGGCCTCGAACTTACAATCTTCGCTGGGATCACACGTGTGCGCCGCTGCACCCAGCTTACCTAGTGCCTTTATATTCAGTATTGTGTTAGGACATATTCTGTGGCACTAACTTGCACTAGTCACATTAGTTCAAAATGTATTTAAAAGGCAGTTAATAAGCAGCTTGGCCAGGCGCTGTTGGCTTTGTGCTACAAAGAGAAACGCGGCATAATCTTAGGACAGTTGTTCACAGTGCGTCCTAGCTGCGTTTCGCCTGCACTGCCCATCATAAATCTAAAGACGGAACTACGTGCACGGAAGGCAAGGTGCTTGAAGGTAAGCCTTCAAGCTGGGAGACCGTGGAAGCCCGAGGTGCTGTCCGCGCCGCCCGCAGCCCCGTTGCAGCCCACCGCGCCCCTGCTCACCCGCGCGCGAGGCGACTGCGACGCGCGTCCAGGCAGCGCGGGCCGGGGCCTGCGGGAATAGCACGCTCGGAACGGCGAGGCTTCGCGCCCACCCCGCGCGGCCCTCCGCGCCCGTGCGACCCGGCCCCACGCACACCGCGCGCAGCCCCAGCCACCGCGCCGCTGCCGCCGCCATCGCTCAAGCCGCCGCGGGCGCTTCCGGATCGGGAGCGTCTGCTTCCGGGGCGGCAGCGATCGCTTCCGGAGCGTCTCCACGTTCTCGCCCAAGTGGTGCCTGCTGCCTTTCCGGCCATGGGCGAGCCGTCTGCAGATGTGCGAGCTTTCCTGCTTCAGCACCCAAGCCTGCGGCTGCTGCCCGGCACAGACAGGGTCCGCGGGGAAGGAGGTACTGGGGGAAGGAGGGAGGGCCGGCGCGAAGGGAGCCCATCTCGCTGATTCCGCAGCCCACCCGCAGGTGCGCTGCGCCCTGACGGGCCACGAGCTGCCCTGCCGCCTGCCCGAGCTGCAGGTCTACACCCGCGGCAAGAAGTACCAGCGTCTGGCGCGCGCTCCCGCGGACTTCGACTACGCCGAGTTCGAGCCGCACGTCGTTCCTAGCAGCAAGCACCCGTAGGTGGCGGCCCAGAGCTCGCGCGCGCGGCCCCCGACGGGGCTGACCCGGCAGCCCTGCCCTTTCCGTGCGGGAAACCTAGATGCTGCTGCACTGTGTGATTGAGACAGTCGTCACGGGAGGGTCCCGCTTTCGCTTCCGCTCCGGGAGCACCTTACCAGGCAGTCTCCAGCTGCACCCCGCGCTGGAGCAGGGGTGCAGCCGGGCCTCTCTCTGCTCTGCGCTGGAGCAGGCTGCTGGGCCTCCCTCTGGTGAAAGAAGAGGTCACAGTCAGTGGGTTAGCGGCAGTTCCTGTATGTGGCCACAGTGGAGCAGCGTGGGTCTCAGTCTTTACTGTGAACTGCCCCCGCAAATTTTTCTTCTTGCCCATAGGCACCAGTTGTTCTGCAAACTCACCCTGCGCCACATCAACAAGTCCCCTGCGCACGTGCTGAGGCATACCCAAGGCCAGAGGTACCAGAGAGCCCTAAGGAGATGTAAGTCACCAGGTGTTTGCAGCACAAGCTCAGTCTTTGGATGCGTGCCTGCCTCCCCTGGGACAGAGTGCTCCTTCTGGGCAGAAGCAGTGCTGTCAGTCACCTTTCAGTGATCCTTAGGTGAGGCTCCTGCCTGGTCCTGGCACAGTGAGGAGAGGGACAGTGGCCCCTGATCTCATGGACTCCCAGGGTAGACCTATGCAAAGCCAGGAGGAGGCTAGGGAAAAAATTCAGAGTATGTGAAGAAAAATACTGAGGCCTGACGGCCCTCTGGGTTACTTTCCCAGCTGAGGCTGGATCAGTGTTCCAGGCACAGCTCCAGAGTTGGCAGAGGCACTGGGAGGCTCTGATGGCCTCAGACCAGTGTGTGAGTAGGTTAGGCCACAGAGTCTTGGTGCCTTGGTCAGTATGGGAAGCTGGCACTAGTACCGGCAGTTGTGTGACCTGCAAAAATAGAGGGGCATGAGGTGACTGTAGCAAGCTGGTGAAGAGGATGGTGGCTTGGAGAAAGAAAAGGTATGGACCAGCCTCCTCTGTTTGGGGGACAGAGCCAGGTTAGGGAAGTGAGGGCACAAGAGGAAATCACAGCATCCTTAAGGCAGGAAATGTCTAAGCACTAGATTTCCCCAGGGGCTGGAGAGCTCCTTTGCCTGTTTTGAATTCAGGGTGGCTTAAGGAAGGAGGGTGCCAGCCCTGGAGCTGGAGGTACTCACCTGGCCAGGGATTGCTGGCTTGAGCACCAGGGAGCCCCAGAGAGAGGAGGTCAAGGTAAGGGAACAAAAGTAGCCACAGGGTTTGATAGTCTAGAGGATTCTGGCAATCTTGATTAGGGCAGCTGAGGCTTGATGGGGGTAGAGCCAGGCTGGAGTGCTGTAGGGCAGGAGACAGGTGCAGGTGGGCCTCTGAAGCATGGCTGTAGAGCAGCGAGGGGGACGAGGTTTCAGGGGACCACGCCACCTCTTTCATGCTGGGGGTGGAATGGGAAGTTGAGGAAGCAGAGCCCACAAGTTTCTTGGAGCAGGCACTTTATAGAAGCCAGGCCCAGAGAGGCCGCCAGCCAGGTCCTGGACTTTGTCTAGTCAGCTGTGCTAGCTACTGGGATGTGGGGGTTCCTGTGAGAGCAAGTGGTTGAAGGGATGGATGATGGAGCTGAGATGGGACTAGGATACAATGCAGCCACTTCAGGGCAGTCGTTTTGGAACCTGACCTGAGGCACTTGGGAGGAGATGCCACAGGCAGGTGCTCATGGTGATAAGGCCACTGTGGCCACAGGAAATGGTAGCAGAGAGGACGTAGAGAAAGAGCTCTGGAGATGGCAGAAGCAAGCAGTGACGTTGCAGGCAGGGGACAGTGGGTGCTTGGTCCTCTCCATACACAGGATCAGTTGGGGCAATCCCTGAACAGGGTTCATCCACAGGACCTCATCCTATCACCTAAGCTGGCCCAGGGCAGCAAGGGCCAGGTCCTTCAGGCCCCACCAGGGTGGGGCCCATGTGATACCAAGAGGGAGGACTTTAGTGCTGGTAATAGACTAGGTTGCTGCTGTGGCAGCCTCACTGGGGCTCACCTTGGGCCTGCAGGATAAGTGCCAAGGCCTGTTAGACCTGTACAACCTTCTAGTCTTTGGGCCACTCCTCCTCCACACCTGGTCAGGCCTGAGCTGGGGTACACATGGGTTAGCCTTGTGCCCAGAGGACTGGGGCTGGGGAGGGTACCCGAGTAAGCTGGCTTGTGTCCCAGATGAGGACTGTCAGAAGCAAGGTGTGGAATATGTCCCTGCCTGCCTGCTGCACAAGAAGAGGAGGGTGGAAAGCCAGGTGGACCGGAACCAGCCACCGGGCCTGAGAGAAGCCTTCTGGGAGCCTCTTTCCAGTGATGAGAGTGGAGCCCTGAGTGATGACAGCATGACAGACCTGTATCCACGTAAGTGGCACAGCCGTCCTTCACTCTGGCCTTGCAGCTCCATGACTTCCTGGCTCATTCCCCCCACCCCAAGTAGGCATCCTCCATGATCCTGGCCACCGCTCCCACCCTCACCCCCTAGAAGGTAGAGCTCCATTTGCAGTGGGCTCAGCCAAGTGCCTGTCCATCCCAGCGGAGCTCTTCACCAGAAAGGACCCAGGAGGACCTGAGGACCTGGATGGTGCTGATGCCTTTCTGACTGACCAAGAGAATGAGGAGCTGAAATCCCCAAGAATGAAGGGCACAGGGGACAGAAGAGAAGCTAAAGTGGACTTGAAGCAGGTCCATAAGCGCAGAAAGGTAAGCCGTTACTTCTGGCTGCACTGCCAGTTTGTGCCAGAAGCAGCTTTCTCTAGTTGTGGTTTTGGTTTGTTTGAAATCTCAAGCTAATAATGTTATAAATGGGAGCCAGAGCCACTCTGGGGGGCAGGAGGGAGGGCAGCTGGCCCTCAGCCTGAATCTCTGGAAGTTCTGCCCATGTGCTGCAGCACAGAAACCTGGGAGAAGGGGCTCAGCTTTCACGTGCCCCTTCTTCTGCTATGAGGCAAGAGCCACAAGGGTGGAACTGCATGTGCTTCCCTTTCCCTGGCTCCATGCAGTGCTGCCTGACCATCAGTATAGGGCAACCAATGCAGAAAGGCTGGCTGCTCAGGCTAGTGGGGGCCAGGGTGGTACGGAGCCTCCCTGGGGGATCAGAAGCATCCATAACCAAATGCTCTGCTGTACCACAGAAGCACCTGCACTCACTGACGAAGAAGCTCAAGAACCATCACCACAAGCGCAAGAGCTTTGGCTCCTTCAAGCAGTCGGGTTAATAAAGGTTGTGGGGACAGCTTTTGGTGTCCTTGGAACTCTAGGTCTAGTCTCCAGCATCTTCCCTCCATTCATCCTGGTCTCCTGGCTTTGCTACCCCTGAAGCAGGGCTGAGGAACCTGCTCAGCACTGGGTGGGGTCCCATAGCCAGGAGGCAGCAGGGACTCTGAGGGCAACTGCTCCCTGAGTGTGGTCTGCCAGTATCCTTGGCAAAGCCTGGGGTTCCCAGCTCACTGCAGCATCCTGAGGGCCCTGGCCAGCCTGCAGACACCGCCACGGGATCACAGTGCATACCACAAATGCCATTGTTTATTTGATGTGTTTCCAAAATCAAAACGTTTTCAAACACAACTAAGATATAAAATACAGCATAAAAATGAGATTTATACCTATTCCCATATAAAGCAGAAGCATTTTCAGAGACTGTCTTGCTGAAATCCATGGGTAAGCCGTGTTTCCTCTCCTCCCCCATCCTGGCCCAGCTCACTCAGGCAGCAGGGTGGAGGCTGGAGGCCACCCCTGCTGACCATGCACTTGGCTTCCTAGGTCTGCCCTATTCCACAAACCAGTGGCACCACAGGAACTGGTGTGGCCAAGTGTCACCTAATGGGGCTATTACACTGTATTAATCAGGAGGGATGCATGCTGAGGTAGCCCTGCAGCTGAAGCCATCACTGGATCTTCAACACACCGGGGAGCAGGCCCCAGGCAGAGCCTCAGTGGCAGGTGGCACACAGGCCAGGGTGTAGAGAAGGTGTGCCAGGATGCCCTTGTAGTAGGTAGGGGCAGGAGGCTCAGCTGGCCTGCAGCAGCCCCAGGACACTTCAGTCCTGCACTCCCAGGATGGGCTCCAGGAGCTACACCCAGCAGAGTGAGTGGCCATCTTCCCTCCTAATCAGGCACCTTGGTACCTGGGATCTGGCAGGAGTAGGTGTTTTTCTGACTACCCTTCTGGCACTCACTGTCATAGTGTCAGAACCCCACCTCACCAAAAAGAGGAACACGGTATAAGGCAATGTTAGAAAACTTTAAATACAGGATCAAGATCAAATTGGTAAGGCATCACAAATTGTAGAAAGTAATCTTGGCTGCATTGGCATAGCAAATGGACAAAATCTGAGCAAGCGATAACCTTGGGGCCACCCACAGGGCAGGTGCAGTCTGGAACAGGTGCTGCCACGCTGGGATGGAGCACAGCCTAGGGTATCCAGGCCTTGCTCTGTGAAGGTCGAGCTGAGGTAACTGGGTTGAGCCTGTGGGTCTCTGATACTGGGAGCTCCTGACATTGCTGGGCCCCTTGCTGCTGCTCCTCCCCAAGCCATTCAAGGAGGAGGGGGTGGCCATCCTGTGTGCAGCTTCCCCTGGGTCCCTGCCTTGAGCCACTAAAGCTCTGAGAGGGTCTCTATCTCCCAGTGACTGATCCGAGCTGGTGGTGTTGGTGAATTCTCCCTCCAGCCGCAGCCCTGGTCACCCTCCAGTACTGCAGCACTGTGGGGCTGGGGCTCTTCTGAATAGCCTCACTGATTATAAGGTATTACAATGCAGGGGCAGAAACAATGTTGAAGCCACTGATTCGCGTTTCAACCAGGGAGCTTCGGGGTGTGAAGTCTGGCTGCAGCATCCAAAACCATTTAGTAGTTTGAGCTAAGAATGTAAACTTAAAAAACAAGAGGGAGGCTGCTCTGAATGATACAGATGTCTGCTCACAGTACAGCTTGAAGTCCCTCACCCCAAAAAAGACTCGAAAACAGGACTGAGGCCACAACCCACTGAGCTGCTCATGTCAGGGGCTGGCCAGGTGACTGGCCATGCAGCTGGGCAGCACTCAGCGGTCAGATACCAGCCTGTGGTTCCAGAGCAGATTTTGCCCCCAATTTTCAGGTGTCTGCAAGTAAAGTTCTCAAACATCGGTGCCTTTACCAAGGGGGGGGGAGGGAAGAGGACACGGAACTGCTGGCAGTTTGTTGACTCCACCCTGAACCAGTCCACAAGGGCACAGGTCTTGGCCAGGTAGGGTAGGGATCTGCCTGTTACCACTCTTTCTTCTTTTCATCCATGGAAACACCCCCAGGGCCCAGAGCCACCACCAGGAGCAAGCCTCCAATCACCGACATGGTCTGGAAGAAGTCGTACTTCAGGAAGTCATGCATGGGCTTATAGACTGGAATGGTCCAGAAGGCGTTGAAATACACATTGATAGCAAACAGCCAAACAACAAGAGTCAAAGCCGCCAGCTTGGTTTTAAAGCCAACAGCCACCAAGATCATCAGAGCTGTGCCCACGATGTTCTGGATGATCTGCACAGGGTGAGAGGGACAACATTCAAAGTCAACACCAGGAACAGCTGTTCTGTGTTCTACAAACAAACCAAGCTGCCTGTGTCATTCAAGTACCTGTGCCAGGCTGGCACAGCTACTGAGACAGCAGGAAATTGGAAGTCACTACCAGGGAAACTGGATAAAGCAACGTCATTATAGTGTGAGGCTCAGGGATTTAAAGAAAGCTTCTGGGTAACAGCAGGCTGTGATTTACCATGAGCTCCAGTGCTGGCCAGCTGGATCTCTATCCCCAGGGTACCCCCAACTCACCCAGATATCCAGGCTGGGAACTCCGTCCCCTTCCCATAGTGCCAGCACCCTTCCTTGTACCTGTACCTTCTAGTCAGCTGTGCCCCCGACACCCCACATGCAAACCATACTCAGCAAAATGTGAACTTTGAGAAAGAGAAGTCAGAAGAGCCTGCAGAGAAAGCACTGGTCCACTCCAGCAAGGTCAGGAGACCTGGACTGGATCTTCCAGGCAGTTCCCTGACACACAGGAGATGGATGGGTTCATTTGTCAGAATGGGACCACAAGATCTGTTTCTTGTCTTCCCATACTACACTCACACAACCCGGGCAGGCCCTCCAAGCAGCTGGATACTCACAGAAAAGAAGCTGGCATCAAAGTGAAGGAGGGTCATGAACATCAGGACCAGCAAGACCCTGCCTCCGAGCTGCATGTACTGCTTGGGAGAGCTCTCACGCATGGTGGGGACACCTGCAAACATGCTCTTCCCTTCCGAACGGGACTCTGCTAAGAGCAGCAACAAACCTCCTCCCAGGGCCAGGTTCCTGAGGAACAGAAATGCTGGCTGAAAGCTGACACTCATTGGCATCTGATCTGTTCCCAGACCAGAGGAAGAGAGATCTTGATGTGAGCACAGCAAAGCTCTTCCTTCCCGTCCTTCAGGCAGAGATTGTACAGCAAGGCCAGGCAGGCCTGAGTGCATGGGACCAGCCTCTGGAATGGAACTAACAGCAAGGCTGCCTGGACATGCTGGGAACTCAGGCCTGGGAACCCTGGTCTCATCCTGCAAGGTGTCCTTCAGACCTTCAGTCCACATGCCTGTGAATATGGCAGTGAGTGAGAGGACCTGGTTCTGTTTGCCATGCTGAGGGAAGCTCTGAACAGCTACCACAATATCTGCTTCTAGGAGCACAGGGCAGACCTAGACAAGCTCACCCCCCACCCACAGCACACAGGTGGGAGAAATGAGCAGAGAACACCCAGCTTAGCACCCAGCATGCACCTACCTCATCAAAAACTTCAAGTCCCACAGAATGCTGTAGGCGATCGTCTGTGGGGAACAGGCAGACAGAAACTTCAGTCAGCATTGTAAATATCTATAGATTCAATAATAGCACCCAGCAACTTATCCATCAGAGCGAGAATACAAAAGGCACAAAACTACTTCAGGACACCAAGGGCATAGTCAAGTATAACAGTTTTTTTTTTTTTTTTTTGGGGGGGGGGGGGGGAGGTCAGTGTTTCTCAAAAACCATGGCCCTTGGGCCTGTTCAGTTTCAGGGCTGTGCCCATGATGTCTGAAACCCCTGGTCTAGACTGAAACACCCCTCTTGATGCACTGCACCCTGGACACCAGGTTTTCCTGCTGAGGAGTCACATCAGTACCAGTTAGCATCTAGCTGCTGCCAATCATGTGCCCTATCCCTGTCACAGCACACTCAGAAAAGTGGCAAAAGATAGCCCAGTGCCCAGAGCTGACACCTAATCCAAGAACCAGCCTCTGAAGCTTGTTGTGGCACTTAGCAGCCAGGTGCTCCTAAGCTGGTCCTTAAGAGGCAATGCCACCACTTCCCCATAGAGAAAAGCAGCTCTGGGCAGCCAGACATGAGGGTTAACAAGGAGGGATGCTGGATCCAACACCAGTTCCACCAGAGCAAGGAAAAGTGAGATCCCGCCACGTACCCCATGTACCTACAGCACTGATTCCCAAGTAAGACCCTGCTATGTGCCCCATGTACCTGTAGTGCTGATTCTAAAGAGCCCAAAGCTGATTCCCAAGTGAGACGCTGTCACATGCCCCATGTACCTGCAGTGCTATGATTCCGAAGAGCCCAAAGCAGGCATACTGCACGAAGTTCCTGCTCAACACCAAGACACAGCCAGCTGGAAAGACAACAGTAAGGTTGGTTTAGGGGGACCTCAGCTGGGTCCTGGGTGAGACACTGTCATGGTACACTGTACCCACCAAACTTTGGATCAGCTGCAGCTCAACTACCTCCCCAAGCCAAAAGCAACTTCTGGGAGAGTTAATGATGACAAGCCAGGCCCAAACTCACGGACATCACTCCCCTAGAATATGGATCCCTTGCTGTACCAGAGAACGTTTTCCAGTATGAATGTCCCATTAAAGACACATCTTTCTTTCTCCTCCTCAGTACTGGGATTGAATCTGGGATGTTACACATGCTAGGTAAGCACTCTACCACTGACCTACATCCCAGCCCTATTTCCTTTATTTTGAGACAGGGCCTTGGTATGTTGCCCAGGCTGCCATGAAACTTGTAATCCTCTTGCCTCAACCTCCTGAGTAGCTGGGAGCACAAGTGTGGCCACCACCCTGCAGAGACAGATCTTGACATCTTTACTGTGGAAGAGCTTCAAACGGGCTAGAAAGCACAAGTCCTTTAATGAGCCCATAATGTGCCAAGGAGTGAGGGCTGACACCAGAAGACAGTCCATCAAGAGCGGAAAGAA